TTTTAATTTGGATGAAGTATAGTTTATCTGTTTGTCTTTTGTTGCTTGTGCTTTTAGCGTCCTAAGAAAACACTGCGTAATCACAAAAATGTATTCTCCTGTTTTTATTTCTAAGGGTTACAGTTTTAACTCTTACATTTAGGTCTTGGATGATTTGAATTAATTTTTGCATAATGTGTAGTGTGGTTCCAAAGATATTCTTTGGAAAGTTAAATGTTTATTACTACATCGTAATATATATTATGGTGGGACTCAGCCATCCTACTCTTAGATTTTTACCCACATTCACTCAAAATCCATATGCATTTATAAATATCAACTCTATTCTTAAGTGCCCAAACCTGGAAATAACTCAGATGGCCTTCAACTGTCCCTTAATTGCCTCCAAGTGTGGTACATGCTTGCAGTGGAATACAGCTCAGCAACAAAAAGGAACAAAGGTATTGACATGCCCAGTAGTGTGGATAAATCTCAGTGTCATGCTTAGGGAAGGAAGTCAGAATTCAAAAGGCTGCATATTGTCTTATTGTAGTTATATGACACATTTATGATATTCTTGGGAAATAAAACTATAGGAACAGATAATCGTGGTTGCCAGGGGCTTAGGGTGGGTAGAGGGGTTGACTTTGGAGCACAGGGATGTTTTTTGCACTCATGGAATTGTTCTTATATTGTTTCTGTGATGGTGTTCACATGACTTGTATGTTTGCTAAAACTTCAGGAACTGTACACCAAAACGTGTAAATTTGGTTCTATATAAATTATACCTTAATAAAAGGAAGATTAAAAAGTAGTTACTCAAAAGTATGTTTCCCTTTGAGGGTGGTGTTTCTCCCATCGCAAAGCAGTTTTCAGAGTTACCTCAAGGCTACTTTTCTTTGCTGTTTGCGCTCGTGTCACTTTACCCTGAGTAAAAAGTGCCGTTGTTCAGGGTTGTATTTGTGTAGGATCACTAAGAACATGAAATACTGCCAAGTTTTTTTCATCCTTCCCAACCACAGTCTGCCTTTTCTGCCCGGTCGCACTGCCACACAAACCGTGTGTATTCTTTACAGATGTCCAGCATGTAACACCATGTTAGTGACAGTTCTCAACAAGTATTTGTTGGAGTGCTGAGAAGGAAATATTAATTGTTTATATAACCTCATCTGCTTAAATTATACTTTAAAAAATGCTTATTTTGAGAGAGATAGTGTGCACGCATGCACATGTGTGAGAGCAGGAGGAAGGGCAGAGAGAAAGAAAGAGGATCCCAAGCAGGCTGTGCGCTGTCAGTGCAGCATCCGATTCGGGGCTCCATCTTACGAACCCTGAAATCATGACCAGAGCCGAGATCAAGAGTTGGACTCTTTGACTGACTGAGCCACCCATGCGCCCTTTAAATCATACTTTTTAAATAAGAAGAATCTAAAGCCATGTATATTAGTTTTCTATTGCTGCTGTGACAAATTACCATGAATTTGGTGGCTTAAAACAACACAAAGTTATTCATTTACTTTCTGTTCTGGAAGTTTGATGTCTAAACTGGGTGAGCAAAGGCTGCCTTCCTTCTGGAGATTCTCAGGGAGAATTTGTTTCATTCCCTTTTCCAACTTGTAGAGGAGCCTGGATTTCTTGGCTCACGGCCCTTAGTCCTTCTGGTGTCTCCTACTGTCACATCTCCAGTGACTCTCCTACTTCTCTCTTTCCCTGATACGGATCCTTTGATTACATTGGGCCCACCAAGATAATACTGGGTAATCTCCCCATGTCCAGATTTTTAATCCTATCTTCAAAGTCCCTTTTGCTATATAAGGTAATACATTCACAGGTTCTGGGGTTTGAGATGTAGACATTTTGAGGGGAAGCATTTTTCTGTCACACACAAGAGAAATCATTTAATAATGTCAAAAATTTAGGATTAGTATTTTAGAGGGTGAGGTGAATTGAGAAATGTCCTTGTATTTAGAGGTGCAAAATGGATAATAATACTTGTGAGGAAAAAGGAAGCATCTTAATATACAAGGAAAATGCAGGAAGATGTAGTACATTGCTATATGAGAATCTGTTCCTTTTAAAATTTTTTTTAATTTTTATTTTTTTTAATGTGTATTTATTTTTGAGAGAGAGAGGGAGACAGAGTGCGAGCAGGGGAGGGGCAGAGAGAGAGAGGAGGAGACACAGAATCTGAAGCAGGATCCAGGCTCTAGGCTGTCAGCACAGAGCCTGATGTGGGGCTTGAACTCACAGACCACGAGATCGTGACCTGAGCCGAAGTCGGACACTCAACCAACTGAGTTACTCAGGTACCCCTGTGCTCCATTTTTTAATGGCAACGGCACACCTTAACTCAAGTACTCTTAGAGCCCGAGGTCTAATTTGGATGTAAGAAAAAGCAATGTGTTTTAATTATAGTAAGCATAATCCTCCTTATTCTTAGGTTGTGACGTATTTAAGAAAATTTACTAGTAATATGTAAGTACCTCAGCATGTTAAAATTTTTTTTCAACAATAGTATAGCACAAAAGTGGAAATCCACCAAGCAAACTATTTGTTCCTGCCTGGGGATATACCTTGGTGTGTGTTTTTCCAGACCTTTATGATTCATTTCATATGTGTGTACTTTCTGTCTTTAAATAAATTTTTAGAATTTTAGTTTTTTCTATGTAAATGAGATCATCCCATATCTGTTAGCCCGTCCTTTTCTTAGGTATTTTATACCACTTTCATTTAGTGGTGTTAGCACCTAGAAATAAGAGATGATAGATGTTGGATGATGATAACTGTAACAGGTATAGATAAGTGCTTTTTTCTTTGCAGGCAATACATACATTAGCTCATTTAATATGCACAACTCTGTGAGACAGGTATTATTATCATCCCTGTTTGCAGATCAGGAAACTGAGGCAGAGAGGTTAAGTGACTTGCCCCGTGTTACGTAGTAAATGGAATGACTGGATTCACATTCAGGCTGTCTGGCTCCCAGGCTGTGTGCTGTACAATTCTGCTGAGTTTGCATTTCACAGGGAAGGTCTCGGTATAGCCCAGATGTGAATGCATTATTTGGTAAAACCTCTTTACCGAGTTTGCTTATTTCCTTTCCTTCCCTGGCGTACTTTCTGTTACACAGTTTTCATTCTTAGTTCGAGTGGGACAGGGATTTCTTCAGTTCAGAAGCTCCAATCTGAGTTTATAAATTCTAGCCTGTTTTTTTCCTTGTTACAAGATTTCTAAATCTGTTCCTGTTTTATTTACCTTTATAGTTAGAGCATGCCTGACTTTCATGATACTTGGAGGTCCTCTGCTGAAACCCATCATCTGCCTTTAAATTCAGAATCCCCTAATCATTTGCTATTATTGAGGGAAAAAAGAGAAGAAAATCCTGACCGAAAAAGAAAACAGTGCCCAGATTTTTTTTTTTTTATTAAGCATTTAAAAAAAATGTTTATTTTGAGAGAGAGTGCATATGTGCACGTGAGTGGGGGAGTGGCAGAGAGAGAGGAAGAGACAGAGAATCCCAAGCAGGCTCTGCACTTTGAGTACAGAGCGTGATATGGGGCTTGATCCCATGGACCGTGAGAGCATGACCTGAACCAAAATCAAGAGTCAGATACCTAACCAACTGAGCCACCTAGGCCCGCCCCCAGATTTTGGTTTCTAAACAGCATTCTCCAATAAAGGCAGTCAGGACTCCTTGATGAATTGGTTGATTTCAAGTTTGGGGAAATACAAGATGAGCTTGGAACATCTTTTGGTACCTGAAAATAAGTGCTCAACAAAACAAACAAAATTACCAAAGAATAAAAAGTGAAGTAAAAAAGATACAGGAACAATTTGAAGGGGATCTCAGTGACCAAAGCCAGCATGTTTGAACAACAAAATAATGATAGTAATCAATTGTAATCCATGAAATAAGTATCCATGAGTCCATACTACATCAAATAAACAACTGGACAAATGGAGGAAAAATAGTCCTTCCTTATAGTAGAATCCTAATTTACACATCTGGAAGGAATGATGGAAATAATTTGCCATTAGGCAAACCCACAAGTAATAATTGTAGGCAGGAGCTGTCTGTGGATGCTAAAGTTAGCAAAAACTATGATGAGAAACAGAGTGTTTGCTTAGTCTCAGTAGATTTCCCCATAAGGTCCTTATTAATTACAAAAGGAAAAATAATAGCTTCATGGTGGAGAACTCTGACAATACCAGCTTAACCAGCGATCAGTTTCAGCCTCAGTAATAGACACTGACATCATGGACGCTTTGCACTGAGAAGGGCACAGCATCATTTCTGTGATATTCTTGCCAAAAATGCACTACCTCAATTTAATCGTGAAGAAAAGATCAGACAACCCCCAATTGAGGGCCATTCTATAAAATAACTGCCCCAAACTCTGTTAAGTCTTTATGACCTCTTAGTCACCCATCTCTAGGTATTTAGTTTCAAAAATTTCTTCTGTTAATAAACTTTTATAACTCCTTATCCCCATATAAAACTTTGGTTCCCTATCTCCCTTCTTGTTTGTTTTTGCTGAGAGGGAAAGGAAATGGAGTATACAGAGCTCAGAGAATGATCAGGAATTTTGAATTATTTCACTGGAGAGAACTGATTTTTGGACTAAGTGTCAACTGCTCTTCCTCAGGAAAGCAGGGAATTCTCAATGACATGGCCCTTCATTTACTAGACTAAGAATAGAACACTACTATTCTGGCCAGTCTGTGTTCCCAGTCTGCTACTCACTGTCCAGCACTTGAGTGTTTTTGTCTTCCTTTGTTGTTGTTTTAAGTAGGCTCCACACCCAGCGTGGAGCCCGACTTGGGGGCTCAAACTCAGGACCCTGAGATTAAGTCCTTAACCGGACTGAGCCACCCAGGCCCCCTCACTTCCTTTGTTTTTATAATGAAATCTTAGATGTGCTAATTTAGACCAGAGGAGATCCTATCTAGGCCTGGCTTTCTATCACAGATGCTATAGCTTGTAAATATCTGCTGTAAAATAACTACTATCTTGTTGGCAGAGTTTCAGAAACTTTGGAGGAGTGTCACCGTAGATTCAATGGATGAGGAGAAAATTGAAGAATATCTGAAGCGACAGGGTATTTCTTCCATGCAGGAATCTGGACCAAAGAAAGTGGTAAGTAGTCTCCTGGGAAAAAAACCCCAAAACCTGAAAACATAATCCTCTGTTCTTTGAACTGTGAGCCTGCTCTCTGTTCTCTCCGAAGAACTGGTAATCAGTTCTCCCTTCCAGTTTTTTCTCAGCGTCCTAATCAGTGATCTTAGATGCAAGCCCGATTATGTCCGGTGTATTGAGGGCCACAGGTGCTCTCTGCCCTCTGGTGCCCCCACATCTGCCCCCTGGTGCTGCTACCCAGCCATGTGAGAGCTTTCCTCATTACGCCTCCAGCCCTTGTGCTAGCAGTGACTGCTTGTAAGTCAAGTCATACTGAATGTTTTCTAGTGCCCACGTGTTGCCCTCCCAGTTTCTAAAAGGAGCTTGCTTCATCATCTTGGCCTTTAAGACCTTAATTGTGCTCCCCTCCCCTTGCTCCATGAGCCCTGTGGTCTTGGCACCTGGCTCTGCCTTAGCCCTGATCACATTGAATTGTCCTTGCTGACTTTCAGATTCCTTAGGAACCAGATACTATCTCTTAGTCTCAAAGCTTGATCAGAGGAGGGATTTGTAATTGAAAGATGACTTGTGATCTAATTGCCTTGTACCAGCTAACCAGTTGTCTGTAGTCCAAGGACAAACCCAGTCAGGGGAATAATTCACCAACACCCTAGACTGTAGCTGCTCTGCTCCTCCCCTTTCCCAGGTGTACCGTCAGTCTTTGTAGCTCGCCTTCTTTGTGATTGTGTGTGTGTATGTTTTATGCAGTGAGTTTTTAAGACTCCTTAAAAGGCAGGATTTATTGCCCAGTGATCTCCGTGAATTAGTGTGGTTGCAGCATTTTATGAGGTATTTTTTCCTATCATTGCTTTGTGGGGTTTTTTTAATCGTGTGATTTTAAATTTCAAATGTACAGAAAAGAATGGAGAATACTATTTAACAATTCTTTGTGTGCCCGTCCACTCCCCAATTTTGCCATATTTCAGATCCTTTTTTTATTGGATATACTTAAACCTAATGATAGAGATGAAAAACAAAGAGCTTTACTGTCTCTTTTTTAATCCACTTAGTGTGGAGAATAGTTGTGGTAAGGTAGTCTCAATGGGGGTGTGCACAGCACCATAACACATGCTCCGTTGTGCTGGGGATTGGTATGGGAGGCTGGGCCACTGAGCAGGAAAAAGGTTTCTTTGCTGCTGGTTTGAGTGTCATTAGTAAATCCTCACCATTCTGCTGCTCTGAATATCTGTATCTGTTTTTACTTTTCTTGTAGGCCCCTATTCAGAGAAGGAAAAAACCTGCTTCACAGAAAAAGCGACGGTTTAAGACCCACAATGAACATCTGGCTGGAGTGCTGAAGGACTACTCGGACATTGCTCCTAGCAAATAGCCAACAGTTTTATTTGTGAGCAAAGAGTTCAGTACCATGTCAAGGTCTTTCTTGTTGATGCTGGGCTCTGAAGACTGTCTTCCCATTCTATTTCTTAGGACTGAGGAGAGGAGCAGTTCAGTTTACAGAACAAGAGCAAATTACCAAACTCCAAGCGTATTTTAATTGAATGGGCTAATGTGATATTCCCTGTTAACCTTCTGTTACTTCCGGGGAAAGGCGCTTAGCATGGCATGCAAGTGTCTTTGCTACTTATCTCTCTTTCTAAGTGGTTCCTGGTTCCATTTTTCTTCCTTTAGAACAAGTTTGCAGATAGTCTTGAATGCAATTTTGTTTGTTCCGAAAGGACATATTTATAATAAAATCACTGTAGAAGGAACTCGAAGATGTTCGTGGATTCAGTTTGTATTCTTTCTGTTCTTGGCAGTGGCAGACGGCAGCTCCGGCCTTTCACTCCCACAGGATGCCTGTTTGGGACCTTGTCGGACGCTGTCATCTGTGCTGTGGTGCTGAACACACGGATTTCACAATTGGAACACACTGTGTCCCCTTTGTTAGCAAATGTGACAAAGATACACTGCATGTGATTTTTAATGTTTTATGAGCATAAGTCAGTGTTATTTGCTTTTTTTAAAGTTTATTTTGAAAGAGAACACGCATGCGTGTGTAAGAGTGGGGGAGGGGCAGAGGGAGAAGGACAGAGAATCGCAAGCAGGCCCCGCACTGTCATTGCGGAGCCGGCATAAGTCAGTATTTAGCTTCTTGGATTTTGCAAGTCATGGGCTCATGCCATCTCCATCGAAGGTGGATCGAGTCTTCTGGCCAACCTACCCTGTCCCGCTCCTCCTCATCGGATCTGACCATGGTGTTTTTCGGGGGGAGGCTCCCTCTATCTCCTCTCCCTGTCACTGGCCGAGCTCATGAGAGCCGTTATCTAATCCATGGGTTCGTAACAGTTATGGTAATTTATAGGAAGTCTTCGTGGTTGTTCCAGCCTTCAGTGGCGGACTACCTGTTTCCTTCCCTCTGCTTGTTATATGGTGTGGGAGTCTTTAGGGTTGCTCCATACAGTCTGCATATCATAAATTGAAATTGCGGTGGATTATAAAAATCAGGTTCAGTGCTCTCAAAAAAGGTGTGATGGCAAACCCAGAGTGGCAAGCACTCTGTGCAGATGATGAGGGGTTTTTTTCTGTTTTAATTTTTATCCTTTCTATTTATTTCTCATCCATTTACATAGTCCTCTTACTGCTTACGTCTTTCTTACGTGCCAGCCCCAAAACATGGCCCCAGAAGATGTAAAACTAAGGCTCCCCATGGTAATTTACTTGTTTATTTAAAAGCTTATTTTTTTGTTTTTGAGAGAGAGCACGCAGGAGAAGGTGAGAGAGAGAGAGAACCCCAAGCAGGCTTTGCACTGTCAACGCAGAGCCTGACACTGAGATCATGACCTGAGCTGAAATCAAGAGTTGGACGCTTACCCAACTGAACCACCCAGGTGCCCCTCCCCATGGTAATTTAGAACATGGGAAACTCAACATGCCTTTGTTTCAGTTCTTTTTTTTTTGGGCGGGGGGGGGGGGGGGGTGTGCATGGGTGGTTTTGCCAGTAAGGAGAAACTTTTCAAACATTAAATGTCTTATGACACAAAACTAGTTTTCTTGTGAAAATTCTGGTGCAAGCTTATCTCCAAGTATACCTACTTTTTTGTGGTCTATATGCATCAGCCGGTTTTATTTTCCAGTCTTATTGAGATGTAACTGACATAAAGCATGAGTTTAAGGTGTACAGTATAATGACTTGACTTACATATATTATGAAATAACCACAAGAGATAATATCCACCATCTCATATAGATACAAAAAAATAGAAACAAATTATTTTTCCTTGTGGTGAGAACTCTTAGATTTACTCTTAATATATATCATATACCTTTCATATATACCATACAGCAGTGTTAACTGTAGTATATCACATCCCAATACTTATCTTGAAACTGGAAGTTTGTACCTTTTCACCACCTCCATCCAATTTCCTCTGCCTGACTCCTGCCTGTGATAACCACAAGACTGATCTCTTTGCCTTTGAGATTTTATTCGTTTGGTTTCACATATAAGTGAGATCACATAGAATTTGCCTTTGTTTACCTGTCATACTTCACTTAGCATAATGCTGTCAAGCTTCATCGATGTTTCAAATGGCAGATTTCATCCTTATTACGGCTGAATAGTATTCCGTTAATATTATTTCATTCCATCCACAATTTTTATTCACTTCTCTGTTGATAGAAACTTAGGTTGTTTCCATGGAGATGCAGACAGCTCTTCCATATAGTTTTTTGTTTGTTTGTTTGTTTTACTTTGGATGTACTCCCAGAAGTGGGATTGCTAGATTACATGGTAATTCTGTTTTTTACTTTTTTTGAGGAACCTCAATATTTTATATATATATATATAGAGAGAGAGAGAGAGAGAGAGAGAGAGAGAGAGAGTCCCATTTGTTTATTTCTAATTTTGTTGCTTGTGTGTAGTATTCAAAAGATCATCATCTACCCATGTCAAGGAACTTTTTTCCTATCTTTTCTTCTAGGAGTTTTATGGTTTCCACTCTTATATTTAAGTCTTTAATCCATTTTGAGTTAATTTCTGGGAGTGGTATAATATTGAGGTCTAGTTTCATTCTTATATGTATGAATGTCCAATTTTTCCAGCACCATTTTCTGAAGAGACTCTTCTTTATTGACTGTTCTTGGCTCCCTTGTCAAATACTAGTTGATACTATTTGATACTGTTTTAATTACTATAGCATTATAGTGTAGCTTGAAATCAGGAAGTGTGATGCCTCTGACTTTGTTGTTTTTTCTCAGGATTGCTCTAGCTATTTGGGGTCTTTTGTGGCTCCATATAAATTTTAGGAGTGTTTTTTCTGCCTCAGTAGAAAATGCCATTGGAATCTTGATAAGGATTGCATCGAATCTGTTAGTGTATAGGAAAGCTGCTGTTTTTCGCATGTTAATTTTGTATCCTGCAACTTTACCGAATTTGTTGATTAGATCCAGCAATTTTTTGGTGGAGTCTTTAGGATTTTCTTTATTTAAAATCATGTCATCTGCAAATAGAGACAGTTTTACTTCCTTTCCAGTTCTGATGCCTTTTATTTTTCTTGCCTGATTGCTCTGGCTAGCACTGCCAGTACTATGTTGAGTAGGAGTGGTGAGATTGGGCACCCTTGTCTTGTTCCTGGTCTAAAGGGAAAGCTTTTAACCTTTCACTATTAAATATTATGTTAGCTGTAGGCTTGTCGTATATGGCCTTTATCATGTTGGTATGTTCCTTCTGTATCTGATTTGTTGAGTTTTTATCATAAATGGATGTTGAATTTTGTTAAATGCTTTTTCTGTATTGATATTTTTTAGATCATTCTGTTGATATGGTGTATCACATTGATTGATTTGCATACGTTAAAGTGTTGTGGCATCCTAAGGATAAATCCCGCTTGATCGTTATGAAAGGTCTATTTAATGTGTTGTCAAATTTGGTTTGCCAGTATTTTATTGAGATTTTTTTGCGTCTGTGTTCATCAGGGATATTGGCCTGCAGTTATTTCTAGTAGTGTTCTTTTTGGCTTTGGTACCATTGAAATGCTAGCCTTGTAAAATGATTTTGGGATGTTCTCTTTGAGTTTTTGGAAGTTTGAGAAGCATTGGCATTAATTCTTTAAATGTTTGGTGAAATTCAACTTGAAGCCATCCTGGGTCCTGGGTTTTCTTTTTTGGGGGATTTTTGATTGCTTATTCAGTTTCCTACTAGTAATTGGTCTGTTTAGATTTTCTGCTTATTCCAGATTTAGACTTAGTAGGTTGTATTCTGTTGGTAGGTTGTATTCCTGGGGCACCTGGGTGGCTCAGTCTATTGAGCATCTGACTTTGGCTCAGGTCATGATCTCACAGTTCACGAGTTCAAACCCTGTGTTGGGCTCTGTACTGACAGCTCTGAGCCTGGAGCCTGCTTCTGATTTTGTGTCTCCCTCTCTTTCTGCCCCTCTCCCACTTGTGCTTTCTCTCAAAAATAAATAATAAAAACATTTTAATAACAAAAATTTTTTTTTAAGTTTTCCATTTTGGGGTACCTGACTGGCTCAGTGGAACATGTGACTCTTGATCTTGAGGTAGTGAGTTCAAGCCCCATGTTGAGCATAGAGCTTAAACAAAAACTTATTTTCCATTTCTTCTAGGTTGTCTAGTTTGTTGGTATACAGTTCATAAGAGCCTCTTATCCTCTGTATTTCTGTGGTATTTGTTGTAATGTTTCCTTTCTCATTTATAATTGTGTTGATTTGGATCCTCTCTTTTTCTTGGTTAGTCTAGCAAAATGTCAATTTTATCTTTTCAAAGAACCATCTCTTTGACTCCTCTTTTCTATTGTTTATCTGTTCTGTATCATATTTCTTTTTGGTCTAATCTTTATTATATCTTTCCTCCTGTTCACTTTTGGCTGAGTTCTTCTTCTAGTTCCTTAATGCTTGGAGTTATTTGCAGTCTTAACGTTTTGTCTAAAGGTGTTTATTGCTCTGAACTTCGTTTAAGAACTGCTTTTGCTGCATCTCAAGTTTTGGTAGATTGTGTTTGCATTTTTGTCTCAAGATACTTTTTAATTTCCTGTTTAATTTCTTCTTTGATCCATTGGTGGTTCAGGAGAGTGTTTAATTTCTATATATTTGTGAATTTTCCAGTTTTCCTTCTTTTATTAATTTCTGGTTTCATACCATTGTGGTCAGAGAACATACTTGGCATGATTTTAACCTTGTTAAATGAAATGTCCTGAGACTTAATTTTTGGCTTACCATATGGGTTATCCTAGAAAATGTTCATGCGTGCCTGAGAATGTTCTGTATATGTTTGTTAGGCCAATTTGTAAGTATTGTTCAGATCTGCTGTTTCCTGCTGGTTCTTTGGATGATCCATCCATGTTGAGTGGGGTATTAAAGCCCCCAGCTACTAATGTTTCACTTTATTTTTCCTTTTAGCTCTGTTAGTTTTTGCTCTATATATTTAGATATTCTGATATTGGTGCATAAGTATTTATAACTGTCAGATCTTCTTGAAGAATTGACCCTCTTATCAATATATGATGATCTTTGTATCTTTTTATCATTTAAGAAAATTTTATTTATTTATTTTGAGAGAGAGAGAATCTCAATCAGACTCCACACTGTCAGTGCAGAGCCTGACCCGGGGCTTGAACTCACAAACCATGAGATCATGACCTGAGCCAAAATCAAGAGTTGGACACTTAACCAAATGAGCCACCCAGACACTCTTTTACCAATTTTATAAGCCTATTTTGTCTGATAAATGTGCAGCTACTCTTGCTTTTTCTTTTTTT